CCACGTGAACGGAGCACAATCGGTGATTATCGCACCAAACTAGGTATTTTTTCTTTTAAATCTGGATTTTCTTTCCCCTTCAGAATTTTTGGTCGTTACACCATCAATCTGTATTTTCTTTCCTCGTCGGCATTTTTGGTATCGTTACACCATCAACAAACCACGTGAACGGAGCACAATCAGTGATTACCATGCCAAACTGGGAGTTTTTTCTCTTAAATCCAGATTTTCTTTCCCTTTTGGAATTTTTGGTCGTTACACCATCAATCCGGATTTTCTTTCTCCCTCGGCATTTTTGGTATCGTTACACCATCAACAAACCACGTGAACGATGCATTTCTTAATCTATTACCTCAATTTCTCATTGGATTTCTAAAAAGCAACATTTTATAATGATTTTAAATAATGTTTTTGGATATTTTTTAAGGCTAAATCTGATCGATTTGACCAATTCTCGATTCGAAATGTCAATTCACTGATCCGGATGGGTTTTAGGGTGTCCAATCCGGGGCACCGATCCATTTTTTAAACTATTGGTTTAGAGCGTAGGCTCTATACAAATCGTACCTTTTAGATAATATATTACAAGATATACTTTTTTTGGGGCTTAAAATCTTTTTTTTTTTTCCCCATATCCATACATCTCGATCTTGTGATCAACTAGAGATGGCATTCTAATGTCACAATAGTATTTTCCAATAGATTTTTGATGTACAACCTAATTTCACAATTTAAGGTGTCAACCTTATATAACTATATGGGATTGTATACAATGAGACCGTTTACCTTTAATACAAGGTGGTCACAAATCCTTACCACCATGTGAAATTTGATAGCTTGGATGTGTCATACACTTCGAGAAAATTCCTTTTGCAGTTTGAGCTTGATCAATAGAATAATTGCTGCCACCAATTTCACATCCAATGGTCAATATTAATATGACCACCTTGTATCAAACGTAAATGATACTTTCCCAAACTATATATGATAGAGCAGTGATTTCATGCAACAATTGTATAGTAATATGATGCAACAACCTTTAAAAACTATGTTAGAGCTATTTGTTTAATCCAAAATTTAAAATATACAGTCTTTTCATTCTAATGAACAATAACAAAAAAGAAAAATTTAAAAATGCAATCTAGAAAGTATTTTTTTAGCCCAATTAACGTAGGAAATTTATTTTGGTAAGATGATTAGATCTATCATTTAGAATGATCTTTTTTCTTTCTAAATATTTTAGATAATTTTATTATCATTAGATTAATAATATTAAAAAAAAGAAAAAGATTTTGAGTTCATAAAAGCTTAGATTTTGAACTTCATCAAATGGACGATCTAGATTTGTTGTTGGAGAGGACTCAATTTGACCATATATATAGGGTGCAAATTATTATTTTTTTGATTGATTATTGAGATGAAGAGAGTGTGTGCACAAAATTTTGAATCATACAAATACCACAAACATGATTTTCTAGAAGAATGATTGTATTATATTATGATACAACTATTGCATGAAATCAGTTATATTCTATAGATTTGGAGAGAGAGATCATTGGAGAGAGAGAGAGAGGCATGGAAGTGGTACTCCAATCTTTATCACTGATTAAAGAAACATCAAGACTATGGAGTTTTATGTGAAATCACATAAAGGCATGCAAACCATATGTATCACCATGAAACGTCCAACTTACGTAGAATACATTATACTATGTTTATAGAGCATAACAAGACAATATGATTTATGTAGACGACTTCAGCTAGTTGAAATAAGACTTGGGATGATGATAATGATATAAAGTCGCCATTTATGGTTGTGGGCCAACTAAAGATATTGCTTGAGATAGTCTCGCACGCGGGTGTAATTGACCTCTGGATACAATTGTGATGCCTCTACGCCTTGGCCTCCAATCTCAAAATTAGTCAAACAACCTTCATAGAAAACCTGGTAATAGTGCCCAAGGCCTATTTGTTGTACAATATTCACATCTGGTAGTAGCAAATAAAAAAGACTATATTAATTCATTTGGGATTGTATATCATTATTATTAGCTATTAGATGTCAAATTAAATAGCTTAGAGTGTGTCGAGATTTTTTTTTAGCTTTGAGTCCCGTCAATAACCCACTAATAACTACCCAATATAAAGTTTAATAGACAAAAATAATTATGACTTTTTTGTACTAAAAGCAAATGAACTTTTTTCATACTTTTACAATTCACAATCCAAACATATTATTTTGGTTTTGTGAAGGCAAAAGGAGAGAGAGAGAGAGAGAGCCAAGTGAAAACATGTATGACTTTAGTACCTTTCATGGAGTTAAGAAAATCTTGTTCAGACAGTTGGGATTTTTGAAGCACTTTTTCGAGGAGGCTCTCCCATATCTCCACTAACTCCCTTTGTGAGAGGATGTTTTCTAGTGGCCTGATGTACAATGTCTTGTTGAGGGTCCGAGGGTCATCTATTGCCTTGATTATGTATGTTCCGATATCTTCCTCATCCACAAAGACGGCTACGTATCCAGAGCAAGAAACGAGCAAAAGTTTTGAGCATTTTCTCATACTTTTTTTTTTCTCTAGATGTTTAAAATTCTTAAGTTTTGGAGAGTATTTTGTTCCCATGAGATACAAAAATTGCATCACTCTCTCTCATACACATTCACAATCACACAAACAAGAGCAGAAATTAGGGGAGATTTCGTCATTTTCTTATATTTGAAGGATACTACGATCCATATGATCGTGAGAGCAATATGGTCATAGGGATTACCACCAAACATTCAACGCTTCGATGGTGATTAGGGGGACTGATATATGCCCACTCTCCACCACCATCAAACATTGATTGGATGGTGATGAGCCCTACAACCATCCTACAATCATGATCATATGAGTCATAGTGTACCATCCCTTATTCAAGCTCAAAGAAAATATTTGAGCAAGAAAGCGTCTCACCTTTGATGGCTCCATCTCCAAACATGCAAACCTTGTCTCGAGCGGGCGTGATCCTGCCGGGCTCGCACAAACCTCCCACAAAATAACCGGCGAAGCAGTTAGCCGAGACATAGGTATGGAGAATCCCAGCCTCCTCTATTGCCTTTCGGACAACCATCTTGTCATCAAAGGTCACTCGGCCTGGTTCGAGTGCGTGAGCCATTCGGGCTGGGTCTATGCCGAACTCAGATGGTAGGAACCGCTAGAAATTTCTTTTAGGTTTGAGTTAGATGTAAAGGATTAAATAAAAGAATTGTCTACAAAGAGACCAGTTATCTTTAGGTGCATTTGTATAGAGCCTAGGCTCTGAACAATCAAATTAGAGCCTACCTTCAAATAGTGTCGATGAATATTATTTCAATATTAGAAATCTTTGTGATAGTCTTAAAATAATTTTTTATATTTATTTATAAAGTTTGAAGCTTCAAAAATAGTATAGATCGACAGATCTATAAAAACTTGAAAATATTGAAAATTGACGGTCCAAAAATGTATTACAAAGTACACTATTTCCATAACTTAAAATCCATTTTTTTCTCTTGTCCATGCATCTGAATGTCGAGGTTATCGATTTGTCGATAAATGAGCATCAAAACAACATTTTTTAGTGAAATTTTTGCGGTAGGCTCAAATTTGGTTGTTTAGAACTTGACTCTATATAAATTTCCCTTTATCTTTTGTACATGCTTTTAACAATTATTCCCACTCATTAAATGTCAAATTGGATGGTTTAGGGTGAGTCATGAAGTCCAAGAATTTTTTTTTTGTAGAATTTTGTATCTATTTAATGACATTCTTACAATAAGTCATTTTAAAATTTAAAGGACAAGAATGATTGTAGCTTCCATGTAGCAAAAAAAAATGGTCTATTTATAGATTATCCCTTAAATAAAATACCATTTTTTTAAAAAAAAATTGATTGAAACAAAAGACCGTGGAGAGGCAAATGATACGGACAGACGCTAAAGAAAAAAGAAGAAGAAGGAAAACATCATCAATTGGTTTACCTTGCAGAATCATTAAAAGGTTCTATTTATTGCAAGATCACTTTTAAATCTCATTTTTAAAAGTTCTCAAATGACTAGCATTGAAAATCCAAAATAAGTAGGGCATTTTGGTAATTTAGATCAATGACCAAACCTGAATCACAAAAATCGTATTGGTTGTTTATGATGAAAATAAAACTTTAAAATAATCAAAATACCACTTATTGTTCAGGGTAAACAATATTATATCATTATTATTTTGTAATTTGATAGCTCCATGTTCCCACCATCAACAATCAAGGATGATCTCGTAATTTGGTTTGATAAGCCATCAAAATCATCATACTACCTCTGTTGTTCAAGATCCGCCACAAATCATCATACTACCTCTCGTTGTTCAAGATCCGCCACATTGAATTGGGGTAATTTGGAAATTATTGACTTTTTAAAAGAGGTACTTCAATAAAATGAACTACAAAAAGTTTTAGCAGGCAATGATAAATGATATCTTTTGATCCCCTTAATTGCTGTTGGAAGTTAATTTAAGTCTTTTTTAATACTAGGGTATGTTTTGTATAAAGTTGGAAGCCTTAAAGAAAGGTGCACCTTCTAACTTTGTAATGAGATACAATTTTGGTGTGGAAGATTCTTAGGATGGGTTAGAATCTATTTTTATTTTTAATTATATAATTTTAAACTTTAACAATGATTCAAATGAAATAGACCTTTAAATATATGAAATTCTTGAAAACGGACGATTTAAATAATGTGTTGCAAAGAAGACTATTTTTATGACTTAAAATCTCTGTTTTGGTCCATATACATACATCCTGATGTCCAGATGATCAATTAGATGTTTTTTGAACATCAAAACAATAATTTTTTGAAGGATTTTTGAAGTGCACTTTAATTCTACATTGTAAGGTGTCCACCTTATATAAACTGTAGAGGTAAGGTGCACCTTCAAATTTTCTCGTGGTATATAATTTTGATATAAAATGGTCTTAAGATTATCTCAAAATCTATTTTTATATCTAATTATAAAATTTTAAATTTCAAAAATGATTAAAATCAAATAGATCTATAAACATATGAAAATCTTGAAAATGGACGGTGTAAATTATATGTTGTAAAATTCACTATTTCTAAGACTTAAAATCTTTTTATTTTTCATGGTCATACATCTCGATGTCAAGATGATCAATCAAAGGGTTTTTTCAACATTAAAACTATCCTTTCCGATAGATTTTTGAGGTGCATCAGTAGTTGTAGAGATCAGGTATATAAACTTTTCCATATTTATATAATATATCATATTTAAATTTATTTATTTCATATATTTTGAATACTTTCAAATGCCTTTAGCCCTTTTATGTTTTATTTAATTTCTTGTATTTCATTTTATTTCTAATATATTGAATTTTATATTTCATCCATAATATTCTTAAGAACAAAAATATTATGCATATACTGTTATATTTGGGTTGTATTAAATGTGAAATTTATAGATTGTTCTTATTTTAGTTCAGTTTTAAGTTTTATCGATATGGCCCTTTTTTTAATAAATTTTAAATAGTTTTTCTTATCTAATTATATGTTATTTTCTAGAAATTAAATGAGGCAAATCTTTGGCTCTAGCTCCAACAAGTTAGATGAATATAATATTTGAATATTTAATTTACTTAACCTATGATATATCATTTTTATTTTGTTATGTGATTTACGTCATTCAGTATTATTTTGAATTATTTATTTTCCATCAATTTTTTATTGGAGTATGTTGCCAAGCCCGCATATGTAGAAATGCAGGCCTCTTAATAAATCTATCTTTGATAAGGGTGATAATATGGTTTGGGACCGACCCAGTTCTGGTATGTCATGGATCTCCGCTCAGTTCATCCCCTCTTATATTTTTTTTCCTTTTTCAAATTTGTCTAATATTTTTTTTAGTCCCTTTAATCCCTTCATCATAAACCCCTAATTTTTATTTTTATTTTATTTATTTTTTAGTATTTTCAGAGCATGGACTAAGACAATCTAGACCTGATACTATTTTTTAAAAATTTTTGGAGCACTAATTCAGACAATATAGAACGAATACATATTGCCGATCCAATAATCGGATACCGATTTTTATATACAAAGCGATCGTCTCACTGATTCAGGTTTTATAGTATTAAATTAATTAAAGATTTTATAATATTAAATTAATTACTATTTTTTTGAAGCCACGATTATATGGGTGTGCCATCAGCTCAGCCCAGCCCAACCCGGCCCAGCCCCTTTTTCCGGTGCATACTTCCATGTGGAGGGCGGTGAATGGTGTGGTGTAGTTACCATTTCATTTCTTACGCTACCATAAGTGGACTCTCACACTTTGCATTAACTTGTCACTTTCTGGTAACAATTTTTCCAACGGGTTGTTGTAAACATAAGAGTAGTAATATTGAAATCGTTTGAAAAAAAAAGAAGAAAAAGAAAACAAATGTAGAACACCATACACAGGACAGTTGTTAACCGTCCAAATGTGTAATTAACCATTGGATTCGTTCTTACAGGCATTTGATCAATGCGAGGTTTGGTCCAATGGCAAAGTATCAATTGGAACCCTGGTGTATCAATTCAAACTTGTGACGACCTTAATACTGGTCCTCTACAGTGACCTTAATAAAATAAAAAATCAGCCCCAAATGTTTCACCGTGCGACACTTTAATACAAATTAATATTTATACAGAGGTTGTTGTCCCCTTGATTTTCCATTTTTTTTAAAATTTGTCCCCGATCCGATGTTTTTAATATTTGATCGCACATTTAATTTTTTTTTTTAATTTCATGAGCACCTAAACCTTTAAAAATTGAGATTTAAACGCGGTCCGATATTAGAAACATTAGATCGCCTTAAACTTTAAAAAATTGAGATCTAAATGTGGTGTTAGAAATATTAGACCGCCTTAAGCCTTAAAAAAATGAGATCTAAATGCAGTCCGATATTAGAAAGATCGGATTTCTTTAAACTTTCAAAAAATAGATCTAACAGGGGGCAAATTTGTCAAAAAATAAAAATTTTGAGGGGCTTGTCCTTCTAAGTATTAACGGTCTATTTTGAGCCCTTTTTGTTATAACGGTTTCAAGGACATAAATCTCTCAAAAATCGTCAAATCGATCATCTTGGCCTTGACTAATATGGTTATTTTAAAAATTAGGATCTCAAACCATCATAATAATATATATATATATATTAATATATTATCTAAGCCATCTATTTCATCATAAAAATAAGTATTCGTAGATCTTGTTGTACCCACTTTTTGAGCTTCAAATTTAATAATAGGTGTTGAAAATTTATTTTATATTCATCGTAGAGATTTTAGATGCCTAAAGTACTTTTTAGATAAGGATTCGCAGTGAGGATTTACTTTATTTTTATAAAGCTTAAGCCTTATGGAAACTTACATCCTAAAGTTAATGATGAGTATCATATTAACAAATCTTTTATTTAGATTTTCGAGTGAAATCTGCACCGTGCCATTATTTTGAATGATGCAAATTGTAAGGCGTGCACCAAAAGCGCACAACACTTTAGGTGCATCAAAACGCTTACATTAATACCAAAATTATAGTTTGACCTTTCCTCGATGCATTCATGGCGATGGAAGAGCAGGAAATAACATCCACACATCTAATCATTCCAAAATTGAGCGGGCCACCATAAAAAAAACCAGCCTACCTGCACATTGCCAGCTTCTTTCATGGCCTCGACAAGATTGAGCTGGAGAAGGATTTGGTGGCTGCGAAAGTGGACACCGGAAATGGCTGATATGACTACATCCACAAGCTTCACGGCCTCGACAAGGCTCTTGTGGTCGGAAAATGAGCCCTCAACAAGGTGGGCTCCTTGCTTCTTGAAAGACAAGAGCATCTGGAGCTTGTCTATGTCTAGCCCGATTTCCAGCCTCTGCAGAATAAATGTCGGATGACCGGCGGCGAGGCTAGCATTCACTATTCTCCGGCCAATGTACCCAGTGCCACCGACCACCAAGACTCTGCTTTTCTCCATTTTCTTCTTTCTCTCTCTCTCTGAGCGTGTGATTTATTCTTGGTCCATGATCTAATCCATAGGATGACATCAGTATTTATAGAAAAAACGCTACCAAGAAATAATAGCATTTCTCTTTGAACTCTTGAGATGACCTAACCTTTTGGGCTCGTGGCAAAAGTTTATGAGCCTCATTCATATTAATGAATTTCCGAAACGCTTGTAAAAAATTGAAATGCTCCCTAACATTAGAAATGTGTTGTAATGATATATGACAAAGGGTGGTTTGGTACTCAGACTCAAATTAGGTGGATACAAAGCGTCCAGGTTACTTATTAGAGTGGCTTAAAACCAAGGCCACGTTTGTTTCGTATGAAATATTTCTTCAAATTTATTTTTATGTGAAAGAAATCTTTCATGTGGTTAAGTATAGAAATATTTTTATATTAATAGGTCCTGGTGCTTCTTTTCGCACCAATTGTCAGCTAATTGGAATGAAAATATTCCTACATTGAACCACATGAAAAAAAAATTTCATGTGAAGATATTTCCTAAGAAATATTTCTACAAGGACCAAAGTGCCTTAAAACATTTTATGACAATATGCTTGTAAGAAAATTCGTAGCAAAACAAAAAGAAAAGAAAAGAAGAAGAAGAAAAAGAATAATAATAAGATTGAGGTCAAATCCAAAGGTACCGACTTATCCAATTGATTATGATCGTACGACGAAGTAAAGATGAAACATATGGTTCAAAAAAGTAGAGTCCTCACCTCACAAACCATCACTGCCTAATCTATGATTTTGCATGGTGATGAAGAAAGATTGGGACTCACCAAAGATGACATGATTTGAGTTGTATCCTACTGTCCAAATTGTAGTGTCATCGAGACCAGTTAGGGCCAATCGATTCCATTGGTTGGTTTGTAAACTAGTGTCATGGTCAATCTAGTCAAAAGAAAAAATTGGTTCAATAAAATACATTTAAAATCAATCTTTAACTAGTTTTCGTTAGTTGGATGGGTGGTTTTGACCAGCTAAATTGGCTAAATAAAGTTGGACAATTTTTTGTAATATATTTTTATGTATTATCAAATCCATTTCAATTGTTTTGACTGGTGGTTGGACTAATTTTGATCGAATTAGAACTTTCTCTAGTTCAATTACCATACCTTTCATTGATTCAGAGCCGTTCCAAACCATTACACTCGCAAAGGGGAGAGAGAGAGAGAGAGAAGGTTTCTCATTTCTGGACTTGTATTCATAAGTATTTCCTTGGACTTGTATTCCATGGCATCGGTTTTCCTATCACAAAGCCTGTTCTCGTTGTCAATGTGAAGATCATGCTAAAGTTGAAGTAAGTTGGCATCAACTTTCTTGTAACCAAGCTACCCAAAAAACACTTCCTTGTAACCAAAGTCAAGTACTCCATTAGGAAAAAAGAAAATTTTTCGTCTACCAAGATGTTTTAAAACCCGGATTGGTTAGGTAAACTACCCAGCCGGGAAACAAGTCTAGATTGGTTGATCACTGATCCGGATGAGTTAATCGCCAAATAAAAAATGAAAAATAAAAAATATAGGAACCAGGCATTTTGGCCCTGACAAAACCGGCCGGTTCCCTATGGAACCGGCTGATTCCCAAATCCCAATTGGGGACCAAATTAGTTCTCACCAATTCCCTATGCAAACTAGCCACTTCTTATCCATATCGGCATTTTTCAAACACTGCTTGTAACCAAGCACACCAATTTTCTATGTAAGAAGCTAAATTAGCTCATGCATTCTAGTTCCTGATTGGATGTATAAAATTGAAACATACACTGAACCATGCCTTTAAAATGGTTAATGCATTGATGGATGAGGAATGTTGATAAAGCCTGACCAAGGATGGGATCAAATTCGAACCTATCAAGCTCAGACACATGCGGGACTCATATGGATGATTAAAAGAGGAGTTACAAGTCTATTGTCCAAGTTTTGTGAAAACTTTGATCATTTTTTATTCACATAAGGCTCAATAAGCTTGGTGCTTGGGCAATGAGCTTGGCCACTAGTCCAACAGGCTTGGCTAACTGTCTACTACATTTTTTATCCACCATTGGCCGAGAAATGCCTTATGGCTTGACCTACCGTCTATTAATCAACATTTTGGGATTCAGATAAACTTTAGTTGAAGTGATATTCAAGGCATCATAAGTGTTGTCCCAAAGTTTCAAGATTTTATCTACTTTTGGCCAGGGAATGCCCAATGGCTTAATCTGCAATCCTCATATATAGAGAAAAAATTTACGGAAGTGATATTCAAGGCATCATAAGCTTATTGTGATTTTTTTTTTTTTGTAATGTTAACTCATTGAGTGGATGAAGGATTACAAAAAGAGATACACAACAGATACGAAAAACAGAGGGAGCAAGTGAGAGAGAAGATGAGAGGAAGGATGAAAAGAGAAGAGGAGAAGAAAGGGGTGGATGGCGTGGACATTTTTACTAGGTTGTCTACTGCTCCGTTCTTTTCTCAGTGAGGTTGAAGATGACCTCTCTAGCCTGTAAGTTGAGCAATGTTTCATCCGTAATCAGGATCACTTACCGTGGGACGAGGTGAGGGCTTGTACACCACCTTATGACATTAGCAAAATTGTTTGGTGAATGTGATCATTAAAGGTTTTATGAGTGATTATAATAGACATTTTGATATAATGGAACATGAAGTCGGTAGCATTGTGGTCCTTCATAGACCATACTAAGCGAATAATATTTGCTGAGACCTAACTGAGCTTTTACGAATTAGGCCAGACGGTTGGGAAAAATTCATGTTGCATGCATATCAAAAACTATCTGATAAGGGTTTTAATGGGATCCCTTGATGATGTTGGAGTATGTTCGGATGAATAAGCCGAGGGACTGTGTGACACATGTGTGTGATGGTGACCTTTAGAGATGGGGGCTAAATCGTCATTCGCATGCCATCACACGGCATGCATATATGATAGTTGTTTTGAGAAAGCGAATCACTTTTCAAGGTGAAGCTTATATATATGCGAAAGATACCTAAATCCATAAATTGAGATTATGACTCCTTGCCCATTGGGTAGACTTTTGTGACCATTAATGAGCCCCTGTATGGACTGTGGGTCATGGACAACACTGGGTCGGTTTGAGAAAGCAAGTGTATATTGTAGTCTATAGCTGAAGGTGGCGTGCCCCAGTATTTATTTATTCAATTCTTAAACCATATGGATCATTTTCTTATATAATAAATTTAATCATATTTATTTTAATGATATATGATTTTGAGAATTGTTATTTGAATTTTTCTAAATATTTAGATATTTTATTTATCAAATTTAGAGTTATAAAAACATATGTATTGATTTTATATTGATTTAATTATTCAAATTAGATTTTATGAATTTCTAAAATTCATATAAATTTTAATTAATTTATTTTTGCATCGAATGCCCAATAAGCATACGTACCCACCATTACAATGTGGGTGGGGCCCATGAGTTCCACCTAGGTGGCACGCCCCACTCCAAGGAGCTTTCCATTTTGTGAGATCAAGCTTTGGCTTGAAGATAAAGTTATGTGATGTTTTAGAAAGCCTTTGCCTTGAGGAAGCTTTGAATGTATTTTGGAAAGCATGAGAAGACTTGTGCATAATTTTGATAAGTACAATATTATGATCAAAATTGTTCTATTTAATTTCTATTGATGAGGAAATAGTTTAGAAAATAGGGGATAAAGGTTTTAGCACATTCGATATGATGTTGATAGTCTATCTATGAAATGGATGACTCAAATCTTTCACCTCACAAGTCACCCAAGATCAATAGTACATATTTATTCTCATAATCGATAGTGCATATTCATTCCCATAAGAAGATGTAAGTCATGAAAATCCCTAAGAAATCCTAATCTTATTTTTGCACTATAAATAGAATACCTCATGCCCATAAATTTCTGCACCAAAAATCTCTCTTCTCTCTCTAAATATTTATCTATCTTTTAATAAGGGGCATGTCCCAACATAGAAGGTCTCTCTCTTTAGTTTTTGGTAAGGGGCACTCCCCACTTAGATCATCTCTTTTTCTCTCTAAAGCTAATCTTAGGAGGTACCCTAGTTGGTATTGATCTCTCTATCTCTCATATTGTGTTATGTTGTTAGGTTTTATCGGTAGTACTTAAAGTTTGAGATTTGTGATCAAGAGTAATTCAGAGTTCTATTGGAGGGTTTGACCTAAACTTGTTTTCCTTTTCGTTTCTTGCTATATTTAATTATATTGTCTTTATATTTCCAATCATAATAATTGTGGTTAAGTTTTGTTTTAAAAAAATTGGTTTAGTGACATCAAAGTTTTAAAATATTGCATTTGTTAAATTTATTTTCTTTGAAGCAATAATTTATTGTAACAAGACTACTTGTAAATGATCTTTGCCAGAAGAAAGAAAGAAAAAAGAAGAAAGGAAAAAAGAAGAAAAAAGAAAAATCCCTAGACAAGTTCACATTAGTCTTTCTGTCAAAAATCTTCCTCTATGATGATTTGGTCTTATCACATTAGTCTTTTTTAATTTTGAATTTGCCCATGGAAGTATTCTGGAGAGAGATGATCAAAAGGCTTTAGCACAAGAAAAGAAAACATAAAAAATATGATGGTTATCATAATAAAAGTATGTTATTTCAAAGTGTTAACATTTTGAAAACATGTGATTCCAAGTTAAGACGCAAAAGCATACAAAAGGTGTGGCTAATTCTTATGCCTGATGCAATTATAAAGTTTAAGCTAAATACTAATAGGGATTGTACGCTCAACCATATTTTGGGTATAAAGCCGAAAAAGAAAAAAACATGTTGGTAATGCATATCTTATATTTCTTCTAGACATAGCCAAACAATAACTATGTATTTCCCAGATTGCATCTAAATACTACCCAAACAATGACAATCCATTTGCAGGTAATGTATTACGCAATAATGTATTACACCAGTAATATATTTCACAGACAATATATTTTCAGGTATCCAAACGACCCCTAAGTTTAATGAGGAATGTGCCCAATGAATTACCAACATCATCATCACTATGGTAATATCTACTGGTGCTTTGGATTGTCCCTTGAACATTCGAGCATTCCTCTCCTTTCGTAAAGTCCAGAGAAAGGCTGCTATCAAGATGCGCCACAGATGAGCTCTAAGCTTGGGGA